TAACAGCACGGCCACGACCGAGTCGGATAGCAGCGGCGACGAGGCTGCAGGCGGCAGTCAGGCTTTCATGCTCAGCGCCGTGGACATCGACGAGGAGACGCTTGACGAATTGGTTGACGACCTGGTCGATGGCGGTCAATTGCAGGCGGGCTTTCAGAAGGAGTCGGCAACGTGGCTGAAGAGATCGCACCCTCTCCTGCTGCGTGAGATTTCTTACCGAGACCGGAAATCGGCCATGTTCAGGGCTCGCAACGCAAGGCTATAGGAGCGCAATAGGCGTACACGGTTGCCTGAGGTGCGGTCAATTTTGGGTCTAGGCACGGATCTTGCGGTACCATGAGGAAAATGATTTATCGACAGGGTGGCTTCTTCTATTCCCCGCGAGGGCTTGAGCTTCGCTCACACCAAGTATCCAGTATCTGTTTTTACAACTCGTGCACCGGCATACGGACGGGGTATGATGAAGCAAACGGCGTCGGAGTTTGTGTGCTGTGGAATTTTTTTAGAGTATGGTATGGGCCGACCACTTCCCGAATCGAGGAGCGCACTCGGACTCGGACGCAACACGTTACCACTATCTTTAGGATCAAGAGGTCGGAAAATTGACAGGAAAAGGAAAGTGCGAGGATGCTATTACGTGTCTGTGTGTCCGAGTACTATCTAACTAGCAGGTAGATTGTGCTCTGTTGTCCGTCCCATGTAGCTGGTGTTCGTCCTATCATCCAAGGGATGCTGTGCTAGTGTGAAAGTATACAAAAGTAAGCTGCTCGGACTCTGTCCCCGACCGCAATTTTGGCATCTGCGGGCCCAAGTTACAAATGTGACAAACATCTCAAGGTGGCAGGCACGGGACAGGCTGGTGGTGGTGGTAAGGTATTTGAGGTGGCCGTTGGGTTGGGTAGCGAGCGCCGGGTAGCGAATGTGTGCAACCGGGGGCCCGATTTTTTTCTTGATGCAAAGCGAATCACACCAGTTTCACTGGGCTGCTGGGGACCCTCTCGCTTGCGAATCCTTTCGTTTCCCAACCCAGCTCACCGAGAAATATCACAGTGTCAGGCTGCCTCGTGGAATCTAATGCAGGTACTAGACATGGCCATCCCATCCCGGGCACATCGCAGATGGACGGACGGACGTACGTACTTGTACGTGTCTCACGCCACAGTATGAAATGCGAGTAGTACTGCTGTAGAAGGATCGGTATGCTCTTCTTGTACAGCTGTACAGCAGTATCCTTCACCGTATAAAATCCCAGCTCTTTCCACTAGGTCTGCACTTAGGTAAACCTAAGCCCAGTCCCCACTTGACATGCTTGGGCCTTGAGTGCTGGGAGCCTTGGCGGAGCCTGGGTAAGGGCCTTGGCACGCCCTGGCACGCCCTGGCTCGCCTGGTAGGGGGGATTTCCATCTGCAGGTGACACCAAGGGCTGGCTCTGCCGCTTTACCGCTAGTACAGCAGTATACCGCTAGCATACCGCTACTTTGGTATGAAGCCTGTATGCTGTACATCCCTCACAGGTTGTCAAGTTGTCATATTCGAGACTTGCAGTCAAGATTCAGTCAGTCGTGCTCCGGCAGGAGGATTATAAGAAAAGAAAAGGGAAAGAAAACGAAGAGACAAGGAAGGAAGAAGAAAAAGGGAGCGAAAAGGCAGAAAAGCAGAACTTGGAAGAATGAATTACTGCGTAAGTAACCAAGGCTGACTTGACTGATTAATTCTCCATCGCTGCTGCTGCTACTGCCCCCGTCAGATAACTCATATCCATACAAGCGCGCGTGCCTGCCTACGTGTGTCTCACTCTCACCGATATTTTCTCACACACACACTTTATTACGCATCAACTTGTTTAGCGACCCTGTTTTTATCTTATTTTTTCCCTCTCGGAGGGGCCATGCTGCATATGGGATTCGCTGCAGAAACACAGCTGTACATCGGTACTATACTTACCTTTATAGAGATCAACACCTCCCTCTCCGCCTTTTCCATGATCAAGTACTTAACTTAGCCTGCACGCACGCTGCACAGCCTCCTTTACCCGTCTCTCGGGTCCTGTTATCCTCGAATGAATGCATCTGTCTCTCGCTTTCTAGTAGATAGGCTAGCTTTTTTCTTTTTTAGTCTCGCATCCTTGTCGTAATCAAGAGACATACATACACACAGCCAGAGGAGAGAGACCGGGGAGAGGTGTTTCTTTATTCTTTATATACCATCGCCTGTCTTTCCCGTCCTGGCGCTTTGCGTGCGTGCATTCGCCCTCTCTCTCGTTCAGCCAGCTGGAGTCTCTGGTGGGTTATCCAACGTACACATCAGCAACTACCACGTATTACTTTCCAAGTATTACTTTTTATGGACCATCAGCTCAACCCGTCAAATTCAGTTTCTTACCTGCTCAATTGATCATCCATCCATCCATCCACTTGTTGCAGTGCACACTGGAGATCATTGAGAGACCTCTGTTCACTCCCTCATTGGGCTCGATCATGCTGGACACTCTACCGGTTGAGCTTCTGAGGCTCGTCTACTCGTTTTGTGACGGCAAGACAGTGCCCAACCTGCGGGCTGTAAGCCGAACTCTGGCGCTTGTGGGAGATGAATACCTGGTGTCCCCACACTTCACCTCGGTCAGCTGGCGGAATGATATCGATCGATTGCATTGCATCGCGCTTCACGAACGCCTGAGGGGACACATCAAGTCCATAAACATCTACCTGGGCGAGTTCTTCATATGGGATGCCTGGTAAGAGCAACCAACTACAGATGGGACCGCGATACATATAAGATCTAACATGTAAGTAGTGCTCGACACCGTGAGCTCCCAGAAGAGGAGCGTCGGTTGCAGGCCGACGTCAAGATGGCCGATGTCGATGACGAGAAGCTGGATCCCCTCCATATGAGGGCCGACGATCTCCGCGAGGCCTTCTCGGAGTTGCCCAATCTTCGCGACCTCGCGGTCACCTTTGACAACTGCCCCGTACCGTGCGGCAAAGATATGAAACAGGACATGACGGCCTGGGTGAAACAAAGGGGGGTAGAGCCCCCAGAGACCCGCCAGAATCTCGATGCCATCATGTTCGCTCTGCACGGCATCAAGCTCTCGTCCTTCAAGGTGGAACGAGTGCCACTCGACATGTTCCGCATGGCGAACCATCGTCTGCATTGGTTCACCCATGCTCAGTCGTTCAGCAGCCTGTCCAGTCTCGACCTGACCCTGGATCCGCTGGAACTCAAGGGGCCATCGTCCGCATTCAGGGCCATCAACGGGCTTGGCCGCGTCCTTCATCTCGCCACAAATCTTATCCGCCTCAGGCTTGCCTTCCGGCACATCCCGAACTGCCATCGCCGACTTCATTCGAGAGGGCAGGCCCGGTTTGCCCTCTCGCTCCGTGAACTCTTCTTCGACTTCACCTACACGCGGCTCCGCGACCTGGCGTTGGAGGGCGTGTCTTGTGACGAGGAGGATCTCAAGGAGTTCCTGGGCCGGCACGGCGCCACGCTCGCTCGTCTGCGCCTCGGTGGTCGTGGTCTGGTCCAGAAGCCGTCCGACACACCGTGCGGGGGCGGCGTCCATCTGTACGACGGGACGTTCAGGTCGCTGTTCACCGACCTCCGGGCCAAGCTGCCGAAGCTCGAGCGCGTGCACCTCGAGGGCATGTTCGAGTGTGAACACCCGAGTCTCCAAGGACACGAGGCGTACAACTTTTACCCGCTGACCGACGAAAACTGGGAGCCGGTCCCGATACCCGAATGGGTAAGGGCGTCGGAGTCGCCCCTCACCGCCATCAGCTGCCAGCCCTTCGAGCACTACATCCTGCGAGGCGGTGTCTACCCAGGCAGGAACTTTAACTCCATGGCCCAAGCCGCCTGACTCGATTGTCTGCGGCCAATCCCATCGCGACAATCCCGTCACCGCTCTCCAATCAGCCAACCAGATGACGACGAATCAATCACGGTGGCTGAGACAATGATCATCTCACTTCAGCACACGAGACATATGAATGAAAGAAAGCCATGACTAATCCCCACTTTACGATTACGGAAGCCGGCGTCGCCTAGATAATAAGGACTCTCTTCTAATCAACTCGGAACAAGGCTTGAGCCACGTGCTGGCAAAAGCGACACGACGCCCAACTCATGATAACGAATGTTCTGCTTTTCTTTTCTTTTTCTCAATCATTTTTTGGGATCATCGCAAATCATATAGATAACATCACCTTTTTCCGGTACCGGAGGAGTATCCTCAGGGAGAGACCCGGTACCACCACTGGGGAGGTGTTTTCCTCTTCCTTCTCCAGTGGCATCTTCTTTTTTATTCTCACTTCCTCTGTCTGGGTGCGGATGGGAAGCATTATTAGAATGGGTCTTTTTATAAATGGTCACATGTTTTTCATGATTTCTTGTCCTTTGTATTTGACTTTTTTTTTGGTTTAGATGAAGGGAAAAGAAGCCAGTTCCATTGGTTTTGGGCTTTTGTGTTTCTGCTGTCATGACATATCACTCACTCATGTAGACTGATACCAACATCGACACCCTGTTAGTGCATTGACGAGGCTAGGTGAGGATGGTGGTTTTGTGTGTTTACGTCGGTGGGGGCTGATGGGGTTGAGAGGGAGGGTGTGATGATTTATTTGACAAGAGATAGGAACATGGAGTTGATAGAGATAGAGAGATGGGAGAGGATTGCATAGATATATACTTACCTCGTCTCGCCGTGGTATACCTGCCTCGTCTACCCTTTTGGGGTACCTGGTCCTCACCTTGCTTGATGATATCCTCGCGGCGCGGTATTTGAATGCATGTTAGACAGAATGGCTATATGCAAGCAAAGGTTGTAATAATAAGTTACCTCCTTTTGCACAGTAGTGTCGAGGAGAAGTGGAGTTTCAGTCATGACTCACGATAGCTTCTTTTCTCTCCCCTTTCTGCCTATGAAGAATATAGGACAGAATTAGCCTAATCACCAAAATATACAATCCCTACGCACAAAACACGAGGGAAAGAAAAAAGGCAACGTGGCTGAGTGGTTAAAGCGTATGACTAGAATTTCATTATTTCATTTCTCCAACCAAGGTGAAGAAAGTTGAAGTACGCATTGTTCTAGCGCATCATATCCCTTCGGGGTCGTAGGTTCAAATCCTGCCGTTGTCGATTTTTTGATGGGGGTTCTATTTGGGTTTTGCCACAGTGCTTGCTGTGATGTCTATTTGTGTCAGTTGAGCTTTTTTTTCCCTATCTGCTTATTTCTTTATTATTTCTGTCTGTATATCTAAGTAGACTTTGTATGGTCTAGTAAAGAGAGATCCATACTTACTTATACAACAGCTTCCAAGATAAAATCTGGCAATTATAGTGGCTATTAAGTGGGAGCTAAAGCTGCATACCCTTTCTTGAACAACAAAATGTAAGGAGATATCATGTGATACGTTTAACACGTATGCGCCTAGAGACTATATGTAGGTGGTTGATCACTTCAAGTGAAGCTGAAAAGCTCGGTTTCCGCATGCACATACTTGTGGTTTTATACTTCCTTTTATTCTCTCGGTTGTCGACAATCCTAGGTTATATATTTACAATATTTTGAGTTGTAGCGAAGATATCTATCATTGAAGACACCCCTTTCAAAGGCATGGTTGCCGGATTTAATTTGGGTTCCTTCTTTGGGTTTTACTACATCTCTTTGTAATAGCCTACTTTTCCACCTCTATATATAAGCACAGCCAGATTTACAACTCAGGACTTGCCCTCTAGTATATTGGGGTTGTTTGGTTTGTCCTGGGTAAGCGTCATGTGTATATGTCTTTGGCAGACTGAAGAAGTGAAGATTTAGTCATGAGTGGTCAGGTACCTTGCCACACTAACAAGGTTCTATGACTATTAGAAACACTCGATGGTGAGCTAAATCACAATGTCCTGTTTATTTAGGACATCTCAGGTCTGAAAGGCTGGCTCTTGGTAGACTGTCACTATTGAACTATTCCTTTATCCATCATCTACATATGTTATCCCAAAAAATTACCAGGCTAGTCTGCCAACCGGTTGATGTACCACACAGATCCATTTAGTAGCGCCTGAGCCTTTGCTAAAGGTGACCATGCCATCACATTGGCGAGAGCATCGCCTGAATCCGTCCGCACGACAGACACCTTGTCTAAAGGTCGAATACGTATGGCGGCAGGAACCGGTGCCAACCAGGGTACTCATGAGCTAGGCGAGGACGGCCATGTTCAGGGTAGGAAAAGGTCGCTAAACCGCCATGGACAATTGTGTAAGACATACTGCTTTGGACGCAGCCAGACAAACCACCGACTTAGATCCCCTAAGCCAAGCTTTCTCAATACAATGGCGGGGATAAATATAAGGAAGGAGATAGCCCGTTGGATATAAAATGCCAGAACCGTCCAAAGTGAGAACACTATAAAGTAAGGAGTCAATTCAGTGGCAGTCCGCAGAGGGACACGGGCGAGGAGGCTGTAAACGAGCCCAGGGTCTGCGCCAGGACCGCGAAGTCGATACCACACTGACCAGTGCGGAAGGAACCACCATTTGATGAGTATGCCGTCTTCGACAGCAAAGAAACAAATCAACGTTCCAATCCACGTCGCAAGCGCAATCCAAACCGCAGCTGCGCTTACGATCCAGCTCCCGAAGAGCAGTTGAAAGGTTGCAAACAAGTGTAGGTTGAAGAGCACGGTACATCCCCACGGTAGTCTGGGCTCGCAGCCTACACGTCGAGCTAGGCTCTCCACATAGGCACTGTAGTCCACAAGGCTATGCAGATCTGGGCTGATTGAGTAGTACTCTCTCTCAGCCTTCATGTCCGCGAGGGCCTGGGACCCGTAGTCAGTCGGCAGGGGCACTCCGTCACCGCGCAGCAACAGGGCGATGTACCGAGACAGCATCTCAGCGGCGACAGGCAGGCCGCCTTGGTGGGGGCGGGCGTACCCAACGAAGAACAGGCAATGGGCCAGAGACTTGGGGAGGCAGTGCAGGAACCAGGTTCGTGGGTCAGCTGTGAATCCGTACTGATCTGGGATTTCGAGCCAGGGAAACGAAAGGCGATATCCCGTGCACAGAACCACAGCATCGAAGTCGCGTTGGATCGGAGAGTCTGTCGCCGTATCCCCGTAAGAGAACTGGCAGGTCCTGCCCGCTGAAGCTAGGTTGGGTCGCACGATCACTTCCAACTTCCCCTGAGAGACTGCCTCGACCATGCGCGAGTTTTTCGTAACGTATGTGGCCTGTTCTGTTCGCAGTGGGGCAGATGCGGTACTCCCTAGGTTGAACAGCCGTAGGGTCTCGTTTACGCCAGGCAAGTTCCAGAGGAACCGTCTGAAGAGACCATACAAGAACACATTAATCCCCGAGCTCATGCGGTTTGTCGTGGAAGCCTCGAGAAAGCCGGTTGCGGGGTACTCCTTGGCCTTGTTCAAAGTGATATGCTCAGTCTCAGTCAACGAGTTGTCCATATACCGTGGTCCTATACAAGGCAGCCTCCTCACCCAGACCTTCACGTGAGGTGAGACATCGGCCAGATCTGGAGCCAGATCGGCGCCGCTTTCGCCTGCTCCTACGACTAACACGCGGAGCTTCTGGCTTGCAACCTGGGACTTAAAGGCCTTGTCACACTGACTTAAGTGGAATACCTGTCCGGTGAAGTTCTTCAGTCCTGGCACGTCGAGGTTTGGCACTTGGCTCGCGCCGGTGGCCACGATGAGGGCGTCTGCGTCCATCTTGAGCAAGTCTTGTCCTGGCTGATGAACCTCGAGACACCAGCGGGTGCCATCTACCAAAGTTGCACGAGTGACTTCGGAGTTATACCGGACGTGGTGGTCAAGGCGGAAGTGTCGGATATAAGCTTTCAAATATTGGACATATTCTATAGCTGATGGGTAGTGTAATCCAGAGGGGTCGGGAAAATCCGAAAAGGCCATGAACCAGTTGGAAACCGTAAGGTGGAGGTCATCATAAGCAGTTGGACTAGCAAAGACACCTCCTGGGCCATGAGAGGATTCGAGAATAATTGCCTTATGCCCAGCTTCTAACAGCTCTTTAAGAGCTACAAGGCCACAGGGGCCGGCACCAATAATAACAACGATGCTCATTTTGCAGCTGATGTACAACTATTTGAGCGGAGTGAGACTATTGAAGGTATGGATAAGTTTCGGATAGGTCCAACTGAAGATGAATGACAAGACATAATAGACAGGTGGTCAGAGTCACTAAATAGTCTTTGTGTATGACTTAAAACTTCGCAAGGCCGTCCACCTTACGAACTGAATCTAGACATTTCTTTCCCGTCCTCATGGTATAGACGCCAAGCTTACCTACATCTATTCCGGGACTTATGGGGACCACCGCAGCCGCAGTATGATGAACTTTTGTTACTGCCTCGTTATGGTTCGGTGAGCGCACTACCATCGCATACTACCAAGGGCATTCAGAACAAAGTGGTTGCAAATACGTATTTTTAGCATCCTACCCGAGCCTGCTCATATCAGGACCAGCTTCTCAAACAGGTAATTACTACGATTACCTATGCAGTGAGCTCACGGTGGTATCCTACGCCCTAGCGTTGTTACATCGAGGTTATGATTAGAGTTGTGAAGGTCGAGGCAGGTCGAAGGTCGGACCGTCCGAGATTCTGTTACAATGGGGGCGTAGGACGTCCGCGCATCACTAGCACTTGCACCCGACCAGATCCAAGTTGTGTCCAACATGTGTGGATGCTGGAAGAAGACAAGTGAAAATAGCAGTGGTGATTGTAACAATACTGAGCAGACAGGGTTGAGGATTGTTGCACCCCATCGGGTGAGGGTATTTGAGGAAGCTGACTTTGGCTTAGTAGTAGAGGCAAGGACGGAGCTCGGAACCCGATTGCATTTCTACGCAGGTCCCAGCCTCACGGTGCTGTCGTGAAGTCAGGCTAGCCCGCCGTACTCACACAGCGTATACGAAATCAATATGGACCTCCAATGGAACAGGAAGAGATTAGGTAGTCGCATTGCATCTTACACAGGCTAGTCTGCCTTTCTTCATGCGCTTATCTTCTGCAGCCACGAGGCAAAGTAAAGGCACTAACGTACACTGGAGGCGGATGTAAGCAAAAAACAGGACTCCAGCTCCGTTTCTCCAGAGAAATAGGGTTACAACGCATGGGTAGTGAGTGTTGGCCACTAAAGTGCAAATAATGTTTTCCGCCGGACTCACTTAGAGGTGTCGCACCAGGAAGTCCTTCTCAGTTCTCGGGCAGTATGCACAGTCCGAACATGGCATAAGATCATTCTTGACACCCTTTAGCATTCTATGCATATATCAGCTTACTACTCGTCCCGCTTCCACCCCGTTACCCCGCGGTGTGAGGGTAAGATATGGCCCATCGTGGCTTGCATTGAATACATCATAAAGCTGGAACTCGGCAGCCCTCTCTCTTCCCTTGCCTAGATCCGGAGCTCCAGCGCCTACCTGACCCATATTTCCAGGTGCTACCTGAAAGTCAAAATACCATAGCATCTTGGCAATAACCAGGTTTGTCTCCTGATACGCCATCGACTTTCCGGGGCACGCTCGAGGGCCAACGGAGAATGGTGCAAACGCCTCACGCACCATCTTCGCCTTCTGCGTTTCTGGCTGAAGCCAGCGGTCTGGGTTGTATGTGAATGAATCGGGAAAGTATTCCTCGTTGTGGTGGAGGCAATACATGCTCACACCAAAGACCACCCCCGGCGGGATCACGTGGCCATCTATAACTAGAGGCTCATGATCGTGGTCGCCTGGAGCTTCTTCCCTCCATAAGATTCCAGGCGCTGGAGGGGACATACGCAATGCTTCGTCTATGCATGCGCGAAGGTACCGACAGCCATTCAACGCGGTACTGTGGATTGCCGTGCCACTGGTGAAAGAGGTACGAATCTCTGTGGCAAGCTTCTGGTAAGGCTCAGGATTTCGAGAGAGGTAGAAAAGCGTGGCGCAGATGGCTGTCTTCGATGTCTCGCCAGCTGCGGCTAAATTTAGAATATAATAAAACGTGGAACCGGGTCGTGGGCAAATTGGAAGTAATATATACCTGCAGTCAAGAAGAAGTTCGCCTCGGCCCACAGCTCGCTCTGTCGTAAGCCCCCAGTCTCGGCATCCAGGACGTCTGCGACCAC